GAGTACGAGATCCATTTCAAACCAGGAGCCAGTAATACCAATGCGGATGCATTGAGCCGAATTAATAGAGTTGTGACCAGATCATCCAAATCTCCAAACTCTACTGAATCTCCAGATTGTGCAGAACCTTCAACTTCTACAGAACACTCAAGCTCCACAGAACCTTTAAGCAGCTATCAGAAATTTTTAAAAGAAAAAGTTGCATTCACTCCAAAGGTAGTGGAATCGAAAGGAGACATCTTCGAGACTGATCAAAGCATGGCTTTAGCACAATGTGTCTCTAGCGACCTTAAGATGACTAAGGGAATCGCCTTGGAATTTCGACGGAGATTCGGTGGATTAAATCAACTTCGCCGACTTCCAAAAACAGTCCCAGATGTATTGTCTCTTCGGTTAAAAGAACTCGAGATATTTGACCTCGTTACAAAACAGCATTTTTGGCAAAAGCCCGAACCTGAACATTTCTTCCAAAGTTTACAGAAACTTCGAACTCTTTGTGAAAAACGAGAAATTAGGACACTCACTTGTCCACGTCTAGGCACTGGCCTAGATGGACTCCAGTGGGAAACCGTCCGTTCTATGTTGCAATACATCTTCCGAGACTCTCAGGTAACTATACAAGTGTTAGTTCCTGAGACGGTTTCAGAGGAGGAGCAGCTACAAATCATCCGCGAATTCCACGAGAATCCGATGGGAGGGCATCAGGGAACCACCCGTACCCACCAACGGATATCTCAGCATCATAATTGGAAAGGAATGAGGAAACAGATAAAAAAAAATACATTCGGGAATGCGCCACCTGCCAAGCAAACAAGTCATCCAATCGAACTGCCCGTGAGCCAATGACGATAACCACCACGGCATCCAGACCCTTCGAAAAGATATATATGGACATTGTAGGACCACTTACGAAATCCTACAACGGAAATGTGTTCATTCTTACACTCCAAGATGACCTTTCGAAGTTCGCGTGGGCAGCTCCGATGCCAAATCATGAAGCTAATACAGTTGCAAAATTTTTTGTGACTCAATTCGTGTGTCTACATGGTCTTCCTCAGAGCCTCGTAACAGACTGTGGCACCGAATTTCTAAGCAAGGTATTTAAGGAAGTGTGTCAATTGCTGAAAATTAAACAAACATCCACCAGTCCGTATCATCCACAGAGTAATGGATCCTTGGAACGAAGTCACCGGACACTAGCAGAATATCTACGCAGTTTCGTCAATAAAGACCCACAGAACTGGGACACACATGTCCCGTTCGCAATGTTCTGCCATAACTCCACGACACACACTTCCACGAAGTACCAACCATACAATTAGTATATGGGCATCCAATAACAGTACCAAATTCATTTATGAAAAATACAGAACCTCAATACAATTATGACGACTATTATTTTGAATTAAAGAGGAACATGCAAGAAGCTCAGGCTCAAGCAAAAACTCATCTCTATGATTCCAAACAGAAATCGAAAGATCGTTACGATCAGAAAATCTCACCTCTAACAATAAGTATAGGTGACAAGGAACTCATCCAAGAAAAAGCTAGTAAAGGTAAGCTAGCTCCTAAATGGATAGGACCCTATACGGTAATAGAAACTAACCCAGAATCTCCAAATATAACGATATTGAAGAAAAACAGACCAGTCATTCTGCACAGAAATTTATTAAAACAATTCTACGAAGGAAATTAAATGTTCTTGTTAAACTATTTTCAGGATCATTGTAATTACCACAGTTGGACATGCCCAACTACAGAGGAAAATTGAATCAGATCATCAAGACAGACAATCAACCCCAGAGTACGCGATAACTCCAATCACAGAACATCAAGGACTTTACTACGAGTCCCATGGCCAAGTTGGTCTATCACATATTACTTGGGATTTAGTAGTTTACGTAAACCTAAACGAACAATTAGCAGAATAAAATATATTAAAGTCCCACTATCAAAAAACAGCACAGTACTGTACAAATCAATCAGAAAACGAAGAATTCTCGAGGATATGTAAACCTTTTTTGCAACAGTTTACACGAGCAACACTGCCATATCTATATGAGATAGAATCGAACTATCGAAGTCTGATGATAGCCATTGACTATGATCAACAGACAGCAAAGAAAAGTAGACGTGGATTGGGCAGTGCTGTTAACCGAATAACAAACGTAATTTACGGAATGTGTTCAAGAATCAACACTGACTTTATTGTAGACAATATAATAGAGTTAGGTAAAAGCAAATTAAAGAATCTAAACCTTATACACGACAGAACGAGAATCTCGGAAGTGGAGAAAACAGAAACTAATCAAACACTGAAAAGTTTAAAAATGCATCAGCAGCAAATTGAGAGAAATCTGAAACACCTACAACAGCAATTCGAGAACAACACACAGAACATTGACATAATATCATTCAAAACAAAATTGTTGGAACAAGAATTTTTGTTTGAGATAATATTAAATAGATTCGCCTATGACACGCAAAATCTCATGGCAATAGTAAACGCAGCTCTCAATGGGAAGGTATATACGAGCGCACTCACATCGCAGACACTTATGAGTGAGTTGCGAGAAAATAAGATGAATTTACCAACAGGAAGTACTCTACCAATGGAAATAAACACAGAATCTTTGACAGAATTTCTCAGAATCTCGGAAATGACAATTTTTACCCAAAAGAACTATTTAATTTTTGTAATAGAAATTCCTCTACTATCTAATGACAAATATACCGTTTACCACCCAATACCATTACCTATTCCACACATAGAGGGGACAATAGTATTAATAGATACGGAAGTGGAATATCTAACACTCAGCAGTGATAACGAAAAATTTTACACACTAAATACAGAGCAATGGGAAAAATGCAAAAGTTTAGGGTTAGGCAAACTGTGCAAACAGGAATCACTAATCCATCACCGTTTAGGATCGGATTTATGTGAAGTATCATTACTCATGGACCCCCAACATTTCCCAAAGACTTGCAATTTAAAATTCATGAGTCTGAATACGAACATTTGGCACAAGTTAACGAAAACCAATGCATGGTTATACTATACTCAACATAGTACACCAGGTACTATCACATGTTCGGACTCACTTGAAAAATTCCAAATAGAAATCAACAATCTAGGTAGAATAACAATTCCTAATTCTTGCAAAATGAACATCGATAACTCCATGTTTATAGCAGAGAGTAAATCCAATAGAAATGTTAAATTGGATATTATATCAAACAATGTTAGGGACATAACTCAATCAGAAATCACAGAAAATCTTAAAGGAGTAGTTCCTCAGAACCTTACAAGCACGAAGTGCATTAAAAATTTAAATATTCTTGCCAGCAAAGCAGTAGAATTAAGTAAGCTTATACATGTACTACCAAATTCAATGTTCATCCAAAAAATAGAATTTTATGTTATATTTATTTATGTAATTTTTTTTGTTTTTGGAATAACAATAATAATATGTATTAGTAAACTAAGGAAACATTCAATAAGAATGTACATCCCTGAAATACCAGAAAAACATTCGAATGGTATTCAGGAAAACACTAGAGTATAATATATATTTTATTATTTTTTTTTTCTCTCTCTATCATTTTATTTATCATTGTAAAAAAAAAAATATATAAAACTATGCTGAACTAATCTCCAACATCCCAATTTACAGACTCTTTTAAATTAGATGAAACACGGTGATCATAGGACCCCCGTGTCTCATTTAGTGTGGGGGGTGTTGTGAACCCCTGAATAGTATTATATTATATTATGTTCACAGTATAAGAAGAGTGTGTTGGTCGACGGCTCGTCGACAGGAATCCGCTGACTAGGCGATTCGGCGTCCGGCGGGGCCGTAGGCCGACGCACAGGGAGGAGGTTAGTCAGTCGCATTAGAACAGAGCATTATACTTAACGTATGTTTTAAGAAGAGCATTTTTATATTATATGTACAACTAGTTAATGTTAAAACCCGTAATAAAACATATATAATTAATATCAATCTAATCGTGCGTTAAATTATTTGTGTTGGAACCCCGGTTCCATAACACCGCACATAATTTTGTTATCTTCACCGTGTCTTCCATGACCGATGGATTCCCGTATACTTTCCTGTATAACAATTTATAACAAAACTTTACCTATGTACACTGTTCCGCCGTTTTCCGAAATCCAGGATATCTCCGACTGGTTGTAGTTTTCTGCGTTAATACAAATATAAAAATACTTCGATCACTAATCCACTAGACTGTATGTCTTGGTTATTGACTGGGCCCATAACCTGTTGAAAGTGAAGCTTGACGGACTAATGATGTTAGCATTAATATAATAAGTAATAACAATTACGTCCAATTATGGTGGACGTCAAATCAGATGATTTTCCGGCGCTAGCCACGAAGATTCGTGGTGGCGTCGACCGTGGTGTTATTGGTGATAGCATTATTGGCATGAGGCAGGCGAAATCAGGGGGCATACTCATCGAAGTCCGCGGCGACCAAGCGCGGTTTGAAGCGGTGCGTGCCGAGATCTCCCGCTCCGCGGGCTCCGAAGTAGAAGTACGTGCGCTCCAACAGAGAGTCATGGTTGAGGTCAGGGACCTTGATCAGTGGTCAACTGTCGAAGAGGTTGCTGAGGCTACGGCCACCGCCACCGGCATTTCATCGGAGCACTTCCGAGTCTTCAGTCTCAGGAAAAGATTCGGGGGCTCCCAGTCGGCGCTGGTTTCGCTACCGGTTGGACCCTCACGCGAATTACACAATTCCGGGCGGCTCCGCGTTGGTATGATTAGCTGTCGAGTTAAGCTTGCCGATCAGAAGCTAACATGTTTCCGCTGCTTCTGTCGCGGTCACACAGCGAAGGAGTGCCTCGGCCCGGACAGAACGCAAAGCTGCAGACGCTGCGGCGAGTCAGGTCACAAGGTAGCTGCCTGCGGCGCGACCGCAACCGCAGCTAGTGCTTTTGCCAAGTCCTTGGCGGCGGAGGTTTCAGCCCTTAAATGAGTGAGGCTAAGGGGATTGGAGTCATTCAAATCAACTTGAATAATAGTTGGACGGCCCAGCAGCTACTCCTGCAGACGATGGCTGAGCGTGGATCGCGCGTTGCAGTCCTGTCCGAATACAACCGGCCGATGGGTGACTCCGATCACTGGGCCGAAAGCCTGGACAGAAAATGCGCCGTGTTTGCACCTAACTCCTCGGACGTTACCTTGGCCGAGCAAGGAGCGGGCGTAGGCTTCGTCTGGGTATGGCTGGACGATGTACTGTTGTACAGTTGCTATTGCACTCCAAACTGCTCAATTCAAGAATATGACCTGTTCCTGGGCGGCTTGGAGCCTTCGATCGCGCATCAGCAAAGAGCACCAGTGAATCTGGTTGTTGCAGGGGACTTTAATTCTCATTCCCCGGAATGGGGCTCAGCTAGGTTAAATACTAGAGGATCTATGCTGTCGGACTTCGCTACGTCGCTGGGTCTCACAGTATGCAACGTCGGCTCTAGGCCTACCTTCAGCCGGGTTAACGCAGCCTAAATTATTGATGTCACGCTGGAACGCTATCCCTCCCGCGGCCGCCAGCTAGTCAATGACTGGTCGGTGCTCGAGAACATCTTCTCAGCAAGTGACCATTCGTACATAGAATACCATGTCTCTCCGCGAGTAGAACAAGCAACCACGCGTCAGCGCACGATAGCTAGGGCGCCGGGCTGGTCAATTAAAAAATTCAATCCGGCTGCGGCCGAATTGTTCTTTGAACTGTCTGGTCCGTCAAGACCACCATCATCTGAAGCATTAGCATCGGAGCACGCAGAGCGACTTGGGGCCCTACTTTCCGCAACGTGCGACGCCTCGATGCCACCCAGGTCGGCGTTCGAAGCAAGGAAAGCTGTCCACTGGTGGAGTGACGACATCGCCGTGCTTCGCAGGTCTGCCATTGCCGCGAGGAGAGCATACCAGCGCGCCGGCCGAAGATCGGGGATGGGAACCCGCGAGGCTGAACTCGAAGCTTACAAAAAAGCACGATTGGAGCTCAAAAAGGAAATCCGTAAGGCACAGGAAAGAAGCTGGTCGGAGCTGTGCCGATCAGTTGATAGTGACCCATGGGGAGTTTCCTACAGGCTGGTTACCAAGAGGTTAGGCCGCCGATCGCCGGCTATGGACCAAGCAGCCAGAGTATGCGTGGCTCGTGGTCTATTCCCACAATCACCACGGACGGACTGGGAAAGCATTCCTACATCAGGTGGAGCGACGGCCACCTATGCTATTCTACCCGACGCGCCGTTAGGTATACCGCTGTTTACCGCCGACGAAGTGGCGCGGGTCGTCAGCAAGCTGCCGACGGGCAAGGCACCCGGACCAGACCTCATTCCATATGAGCTCATCAAATTAACGTTCAAGAAGTTTCCCGATGTGTTCGTAGACTGCTACAACGCCTGTCTCTTGGAGGGGACCTTCCCCACGCCATGGAAACGTGCCAAGCTGGTGCTACTACACAAAGGCAAAGGGAAACCGAAAAATGTCCCGTCGAGCTACCGTCCAATTAGCCTACTGGACGGCTCCGGTAAGGTACTGGAGAGGTTGCTGTTAGAAAGGTTGATCCGTCACATTGACAGTGTTGGTGCACTGAGTGACCTCCAGTTCGGTTTTAGGCGATCGAGGTCTACTGTGGACGCAATTCAACAGGTCTTGAGCGCAGCCAAGGCTGCGGGCAGCGGTGCAGTTCAGAAAAAAGAGTGTCTTGGTGACGATTGACGTTAAAAATGCCTTCAATACAGCTCCGTGGCGACTAATAGATGCAGCACTACGCAGCTCCGCGACTCCGGATTACCTAGTAATCATTTTAAGATCATTCATGGAGAACAGGGAACTACTAATCGGAGTAGTAGGAAATGGCCGGTACTGGTGACCCCCCGCTTCACCACCCCCCCGCCTATACTGCGCTACCCTGCGCTACCCCCGCCTATACTGCGCTACCCTGCGCTACCCCCGCCACCCTCCCCCCGCCTATACCGCGCTAGTCTGCGCTACCCCCGCCACCCTCCCCCCGCCAATACTGCACTTCCCCCTCCCCCTCCACCACCAATACATCGGTGACGTTGCGCGCTACCCCCCCGCCTCACCCCCGCCTATACCGTCCCGCCACCCTCCCCCCGCCTATACCGCGCTAGTCTGCGCTACCCCCGCCCCCCTCCCCCCGCCCCCCTCCACCACCCAATACATCGGTGACGTTGCGCGCTAGCCCCCCGCCTCACCCCCAGCCTATACCGCGCTACCAGACGCCAAGCTGCGCTACCCCCGCCCCACCCCGCTTATATATCGGTCGCGTTTCCCTACGTCATCGTGCGAATCTCTCCCCCCACTCTCCCCACCAGTACTACGCGTCATCCCGCGCCACTCCGCCAATCCCCCGCCCGTCCCGCACCGGAACTACGTAATCCGTCTCCTCCCGCGTCATCGCGGGCCCCCGCGGTATATATATATATATATATATTGCGCCACTCCGCCAATCCCCCGCCCGTCCCGCACCGGAACTACGTAATCCGGCTCCTCCCGCGTCATCGCGGGCCCCCGCGGTATACATATATACGGGCCCCCGCGGTATATATATATATATATATAGTAAATACTCCGAACATGCTATAGTATATACCTATATATACCTATATATACTACACTGAAAAAAATATTGCTTTACCAATTAACAAAAACGGTTAGTTAGATAATAAAAGGTAGACACAAACAGAACATTGTAACTTTTACCAAAGTCGTTTGTTAACATAACTTCATAATTAGCTACACGTTCAAATGTATTACTGTTAAAAATTATTTTGTTGTATTAACTTAAAAGTGTATTATAATAACAGTTATTTATAGTAGCCACTAGGTATAGGTACTCACTTTAAAATGAAAGTTCAATAAAATCCTATGAGATGTTTTAGATAATATTCTCACATTTAAGATTGATAATAGGTAAATTTGTTCTAATATTTAATCTAAAATAACATGGATTCTGCTGAACACAAATTTTTCAAGTTGTACATTAGTAAGACAACACATGTGAGTTTGACGTCCTGTTTAAATATTAAAATAATAATAATCAATTGCAATACTATGCAAATGAAAATATAATATAGGTATTTCATATTATATACAATATCTTTATCGCCTAATTACATTAGGATAGGTACTAAAATTAATGAATTTTTTTTTTTATTTCTTATGAACCTACTTAGGGCAGATTTTTTCTCAAAAATCAAATATTTTTTTGTTAAGAAAAGCTAAGTTTATTACAATTTAAGATTTTTTGTTTTGAATAGCCAATGACATTGACATGAAGACACTTCCCTGTCTAAACTACGAAATAATCAAAGAATTGATACCTATTGCTGGCCATAGAGCTAGGTTTATTTCAAATTTGGAACAGTGGAAATCTATTGTTATTCAAGGATTGCCCAATGTAAAATATAGTATAACTTAAATATATTTTGTTTTTAAATTTGAATGTTCATTATTTATATATCTATAATAATTAATAAGTATACATATTTTTTAAATTCATTCAAACTTAAAAATTTTAATTAAAAAACATTAGGTAGTTGACATTTTAATTTATGGTTTTACATTTTTAGGTTGGTGAATCTTGCAGTGATATTTTTATTGAACAAAGTAGTTCATCTGAGGTGAATATAAGTTCTATTTAGATATTAGTATATTACTTATTAGTTATTAGTTAATACTATCATAGATTAAATATACTAGTACTAGTTTAATATACTAGTATATTATATTATACTACACAAATTTTATTACACAAATAAACATTTATATTTTAAATACAATTTATTGACTTGTTAACAAAACTTCAAAAAATTGCATTTTAGTATTTTTCAGTATTTATAGTGATGTTTTTTTTCCAGTATATTGAATCATCTCATAACGAATCTTTATTAACAAGTCATAGTGATATTGCATCGATACCCAGCACTTCTGTTGTAAGCATAAATAAAACTATTTAATTTAGTTTATTTATACTCTATATTTTGTTGAATTATAAATATATTTTTTTATATTTTAGCAATCGATTGAAACCATTAAATTGTTTTACGAGGATCTCCAAAATGTGGCCGATAACACAAAGTCAACACAACCCCAAAATACACATTTAGCTTCACAACCAACAACAGTAAGTAATAGATATAATTATAATGTCCAAAATAGTTCTGGTTACATGTTGCTCCTTTTATATTGGCATTAAAATACTTATATACATGATTTTCTTTTGCAGGGGTTATTGGAATGGCTCAAAGGTACCAATGAGGGCAGGTCTTTATTAGCCTCCTACCAAGAAAGTGGTCTTTTGGACAGTATTGGTCGTAAACGCCTTTGCAATTTAATAATTAGTAACGAACTCAGTGTAGATGTAAATGTCAGGGTATCTTCAGTTAGATTACAAGAACTTGCTTATGAAATAACTACAATATTTAACAAAGAACGAACCCCCACTTACTTTATCCCGTATTTGTCATATGGACCTGGTTTAAAAAGAGCCGCAAAAGGCAAGCTTTTAGATTGCCTTAATAACCGTAGGAGGGAATTTAGAAAATCTGGTATTATAAAATCATTACGACGAAGTTCAACACCTACTGGCCGTGCTTCACCTGCACTTTTACTTCCAGAAGCACTTCAACGTATTGCAGAAAATCAGACAGACAATCCTGCATCTGTAGAAGAGAGCTTAAATTGGCTGCGCAACTGTAGTGACCCTTGGTCACTTGTTGAAGAAAATTGGGCTCTAACAGCAGGTACACGTTTGAAAGCACAAATTTCAAATGATGGTCAGTCTATTAGTGCATATATGTCAGAGTATCCTGCATTAAAAAAACCTACAGGATATTTTCTTGTGAGTGATATACGTTTATCATATAATGATGGATTATTTATAGTTATATTCTATTGTGTTTACAGTTTTTAAAAGATTTTGATGTGGCTTATCCTGGTTATTCCAACAAGCTTTACCAAAGTCTACCATTATACAAGAGAAAAATATTAGAACTGACTGGTAAAAAATTAAAAAAAACTAAGGAAAATACGGTCATACAAATATTAAAAGAATACATACAATTAGGAGCGGAAGGTTAGTTAATACCTATTAGTTAAAATAAAATGCCATACATTTTTATTGTGTTCATCTAACATATTTTATTCTAAATATTAAATATTAGCATTGTTTAAAAAATATTTGGAGCATAAATGTGTAGTAAAAATGTGTAAACTGTTTTATAAATACTAATTTAATTGAATGATCTTCAATCAAATTTTTAACATTAAATTAGTTATATTTTAGAATCTTGAATTGACAAAAACTTTTCATTATTTGCTTAATTATTTATTTTTATTGCTTCGAGTGACACTGCGAGATTGTAAATTATAATTTTTAATTACTTTTTTAGTATATTACAATATTTATTAATTACAAATAAAATGACTTATGTTTATAGATAATGAAGAAGTTTCTAACATTGCTGTCTTACTCAGTCTCCCCTTTCTGATCGGTGTTTCAATTTCTAGAACAAAGAAATCAAAAATACAGTGGAGAGCTTCTAAACAAGAAATGAGGGATGGGTTTATAACACATGTAAGAAGTAACACTGAGGTTCAAGCTACAATTACACATAGGAGAGACAAATTGGTAGGTTTAGGCCATACACTTCAACCATTCATCATAATTGTGGGTCCAACTTTAAAAGAAATTTCCAATTATTTAGTTGTTGTTGATAACATATTCTATCAATTGAATTCAATTGCTGCCTCAGTTGATTGTTGTTTTAAGATTATTATAACACTCAATGCACAGTACTCTGTTGAGTGTGAAACTGTTTGGTGTTTTATACAAAAAGGTTTTTATAATTTGCAAACACCATTTGATAAAAACTTTACAGCAGTCAACACATTTCTTTCAGATGTAGGGATTTAAGTTTTTAATTCACCGATTAATTTTTAAATAAGTAAAAAAAAAAATTCATAATTTTAGTTAAATATTAGGGAGTTGCCTAAAGAAGTATTTTTTTTTTTATATATTACATATCAGTTTTAGAATTAATTGCTTACGTAAAATTAAACTTTTATAATATATACCTATTGTAAAATTAGTATCTATTGTTTTATTTACAAATTATCAGTTTTTATAAATTTAATTAAATATTAGGAAGTTGCCTAACAAAGTATTTTATTTTTTTTTAATTACAAATCACTTTTAGAATTAATTGTTAACGTAAAATTAAACTTTTATAATACGTACCTATTGTAAAATGAGTATTGTTTTATTTGCAAATTATCAGTTTTTATAAATTTAATTACATATTAGGAAGTTGCCTAACAAAGTATTTTTTTTTATATATTACATATCAGTTTTAGAATTAATTGTTAACGTAAAATTAAACTTTTATAATATATACCTATTGTAAAATGAGTACCTATTGTTTTATTTGCATATTATCAGTTTTCATAATTTTAATTAAATATTAGAAAGTTGCCTAACAAAGTATTTTTTTTTTTTGTTTTATAAGATTTAATTATTTACATAAAATAAAACTTAATTCTATATATATTGAAAAATGCCGAAGTGTTTTTTATGTAAAAAAGAAGTTGATAGCATAAAGAGCCTTTTCAAACATTTTGATTTACAACATTTAAATCATGAATTCCATTTTTTTCAATGTAATGAAGAGGATTGCTCAAGATCATTCTATTTA